CAGGAGGTCTTTAGCTGTGAGTAAACTTTCTTTAATGCAGAGGTCAAGGTCTGAAGATCCTGTGGTGATGATAGAGAAATTGTTAAATGAAATATTGTGACCTGTGTTTTCAGAATGTGAGTGAATAGATGAGTGGCTTGGTTTAAATGGATGATTGGTTCTGTTAGATACTCCTAAGTGACCAAAGACTCTAGTTTTTAAGTGGCTTTTCCTTTTGCCAATGTACGTGACCTTACAGTCACTACATGTATATTTATACATGAGCCATGAACGTAGAAGTTTAGGTACTTGATCTTTGTACTGAAATAAGTGTTAATGTGGAGGCTAGGTCTGTATATTATTATAAGCTGAATTTGAGGATAGAAGTTTTTATTAGGGAAGAGAATTGTTTTTTATTTGATAGGGATTGTGACCCGTAAAAGGAAGGGAGATAATGACGGGAAATTTGGGGCCGGTGTGTACATTGGCTGGTGGTTAGATTTTGTTGTTTAGGAAATTGCGTATAATCTTCGTTAGAAAATCAATTGGTTAGCCATTATTTAACATGTGTTTATGTAGAAGGGTAAATTTCTTCGTGTAAAATAAAATAATTAGAACAAAGATTAAAAAATTCTGTTCAGCAATGATATAACCAGATTACGTTTGAAGAAGTTGGGGATAAAACTATTGAACTCAATGTAGAGGCCAGTAAAAGTTATTTTACGATAAACAGAGGTAGAAAAGTATTTACTTTCTTTTGTAATCCTGATGTCTAGGAAAGGTAAAGAATCATTTTCCTCAAATCGGATGTGAACTTGATGTTGGTAATTAAGATAAGAGTGTTTTATCAACCGTCTTCATATTAACTTAAGCCTAGCATTGAGTCATAGTAACCTACTTATAATTTCATTCAAATAATTAAGATAAGAGTGTTTTATCAACCGTCTTCATATTAACTTAAGCCTAGCATTCAGTCATAGTAACCTACTTATAATTTCATTCAAATAATTAAGATAAGAGTGTTTTATCAACCGTCTTCATATTAACTTAAGCCTAGCATTCAGTCATAGTAACCTACTTATAATTTCATTCAAATAATTAAGATAAGAGTGTTTTATCAACCGTCTTCATATTAACTTAAGCCTAGCATTCAGTCATAGTAACCTACTTATAATTTCATTTCCACTTGGTAGTATATCCCTGACAGAATTAATTAATTATGACCCTTTTCTTTAAATGCCTTTATCGATCCCTTGTGCTTATCAATTAGCTTGTCTGATCTACCCTTCCCTACCTCATTAGTCCCTATGATCACCACAAAGACTATCACTTCTAGTACCCTTTATAAGTTATATCCTCTGCCCCTGGATAGAATAACATTAATTCTTTTCTCCCTATTTACCCTACAGACTATCCTATCCATGTGCTATACTAAATGCATGTATCTAAGGAACAGTTGTCTGTCTTGCATTCTAACAATTTAATGACTATCTAGGATAAACTACAATTTCTACCTTATTTTTATGGAACTATTGCCATCTTTACACCTATTTGAATTGTTTTTTTTAAATTCTATTTTATTG